CCCCAAAACCCCAAAACCCCAAAACCCCGACAATTACATTTCATCAATTTTAAGTGACTAGTTAGAGTTTTTAAATGAAATTTGAAATAAAATTAAGATTTATAATGTTTATAATCACTCTAACAATGTTTAGAACACTATGAAATACATTCCTATCATAATTGAAAAATTCACTATGATGGTATTTTAACACTATATTACTAATAATTTCTTACTTAGACCACATTCTAATAATCAATTAGCTTTCTAATAAATGTCTTTTTGAAATATATCATTCTATGCTCTCCAGTACCTCCTAGTGGTTCTAACTTACATAACCACTTTTATTACTTTTATTAGTAATCCCAAAAGCATCGACGGCTTTAAAAAACCGAAGAGCAGAATTATCTATTGGCATTTTGCATAGAGGGCACTCTTTTTTTTTGTTCAGCCATTCTCTAGTACATTGAGGGTGAAATATATGCCTGTGAGCACAGTTTAATTCCTCGATGATGTCATCATCTTCAAATTGTATAAGGCAGATTGCGCATACATCATCTACTTCAGGTTGCTAAAGAGGAGGCATCTCAAGGTCATTATCATTTAATGGTTTGTCTTTTTCTTTTCTTGATAAATTTTTCTATTCGTCTTCAATTATCATTATCATATCATTTGGCTCAATCTTGTTAGGCTAACTGATGATCTTTTAAATCTGTATATAGTTCTTCTTAAAGTAGAGAATAATTATGACAGTGTAATAGGTAATCAAGATGTATCCGTATAATATCAAAACTTACATCTATACCCAAATCCTAAAATTGGAATTCGTAGTATCTTTACATTTTACTCCCTGCTCTGAATAATGAAAAGTGTTCCCGTATACAAGCCAAAGTATTTAAAAAGGTACTATAACATAGCTATAGCAGTTATCTAGAAATAATCTAGTTTTTATTAGAAGTTGGTGTGAACTCATTCTTTTTATAAGAACAATGTTTATTATGCTCTTGAAGAAATAAATAAATATGCATCCCTCATACACCAAAAGCCAAATGTATATAGGAGTATTGCATTACTCCTCATCACCACTATTTGATAATGTCACAGCTAGATTGATAATGAATCCTGGAAAAGTCATTGAAAAATTCCTCAGTTCTTCTTTTCTCATTTAAAATTTCTCTTAGTATTCATAGTATGTCTCTTAGTCATCTTACTCTAAATTCAATCATTGCCCTGGTTACTACTGTTGATTAACTTGGTTCCTGCTAAGATGTTTCTTTTTTTACTGAGAAGATGGTGATCCACCTACGTCAGATAAGGGCTCATTTGCAGCAGTTGTTTCTATTCTAAGGGTTATAGGTATGATTTATATACTAAGGTCTAGTGATGAGTTTAAGGTTTCTAGATTTTCTCGCTTATTTTTACTATTCCTAATCCATTAAAAATATTAGCTAATTTTCAATTCAGATTACTCTTTTATATTTTTCAAAGATTTCTATAAAACATTTTTCTGCATAATGGGGTTTTGGGGTTTTGGGGTTTTGGGG